GAAGAGTTATGACATGAGAACTGAAAAATCACCAAAGTCTCAGCCTCATTTTGTCTCGCAGAGTTGCCAGGGCTGAAGTGCCAACAAACTCACCATCTGCTTGGTGCCACCAAGTGTGTTCCCACCTCAGGAAGGCTTCACGCCTGTTGGCGGAGGACAGCCAGGCTGTGTACATCCCGAATCTGAAGTTTGGAATCTGGAGACTGGGTTGGGCTAGGTAAGAACAAGACAATGGGAAGGGGATTGTCCTGCTCTGCTCTACAGTGGGGCCCCCTCACCTCGAGTTCTGAGGCAGCTTTGGGCACCATGATGTAAAAAAGATATTGAACTGTTAGACAGTATTCGAAAGAGGCCATGGGCACGGGGAAAGGTCTGGAGGGGAGGCCATGTGAGGAGCAGCTGAGGACACTTGGTCTGTTCAGCTGGAGGAGACCGAGGGAAGAGCTCACTGTGCTCTTCAATACCCTCGTCAGGGGCAGCTCTGATCTCTGCTCTGTGTGACCAGGGACAGGACCCAGGGAACGGCTGGAGCTGGGTCAGGGCAGGGTTAGGGTGGATATCAGGGAAAGGTTCTTCCCCCAGAGGGTGTGGGGCACTGAACAGGCTCCCCAGGGAATGGTCACAGCCCCAAGGCTGCCAGAGCTCCAGGAGTGTTTCGACAATGCTCTCGGGGATGCACAGGGTGGGATTGTTGGGGTGTCTGTGCAGGGCCAGGAGTACTTAATGATCCTTGTGAGTCGCTTCCATCTCAGCGGATTCTGTGATTCTACAGTTTGATTTTCTTTCCTTCAAATTCAGGTAACACACACAAACATCCTGAAAGTCAGAGCATATCAAAGGCAGAGCAGCCTGCAGCCAGCAGCCAAGATGTGTAAAATTGAAGGCATAGAGCGGGATCTGAATTCATTTCCCTTACACACACACATGAAGACACACTTCTAAACATCTGATCACAGGCAGGTTTTCCACAGGGTGCCTCAGAAGGACTCTGCACTCAGGACATCCCTCATGGACAGCCCTCCTGCTTCCTCTGCTCCTATGTCTCTTTACTGCCTGCTGCTCACATTTCTTCTGAAACCAGAGCAATTAGCTTTTCACATAGGGCCTCTATGACATCATTGCCAATGGTACTGTACCTTTTTTTAAATAAATAGCCTCTGCCGAGTGAACACATCAAAAATGAATACACACACAGCCTAGCTTGATTCCAGTTGTGCTCAGTGTATCTGCAAGTCCAGATACCTGAGCCTCAGGTAAGGATGTAATTAGTGATCACCACGGAAAAGATGGTTTTACAGGACCAGGGATCAGATAGGAACACACATGGGCAAGAAAAGCTATTTGTGCATTTTTGTTATTATTACTATTATTGCCACTTAGTGGCCAGAGCTAGGTTTTCTATACATAGAGTTGCTTGGTTTAACAAAAATTAAAAGCTGTACAAAATTTTTCAACAATAAAAAATGAATTTCTAGTCACCCTGCACCGTTTCTTTCAGATAGGAAGAAAACCTGTTTAATTTTATAGCAGTATAACTAATTTAGACACCTTTTAAATGCCTTTAAGACTTGCTCGATTTTTAAATAAAAGTATAATTTCACACTAAGAAGTCAGCAAGTTTCATTTCGAAATTCATGAACATCAAACTCTTCAGAGTTTTGCCATGAAAAAGGCCAGAATCCATGCATTTTACAAGAAGTGGAAAAATGCTGACATGATGGTCACATGTTTCTGTAGTTTGTGTGCAAAAGCCAGCATGTTAACTGAGCAAGCTTTCTAAATAATAGCACTCCCTGGCCTTGAAGATTTAGGAGTTTTTGGTTTTAAACCTACTTTGGTTCATACATTGTTCTTTCCGATTAGTTGCAGCTTCCTGCTGAACTCTGCTATTTCTAATAAAGGGTCTTGGCTAGTTTGATTTTGAAGCAATTGATGGGTTTTTTTAATGGGGAAAAGTTAAATGAGAAACTCCCAAGATGTTTAAAAAAATTATCAATTTTCAACAAAATTGCAAAAGAATAAGGCATTATATCTTGATCTCTCCATCAAAGGATGCTCCTCATCCTGCAGCACAGGTTTCTGATACTCAGACTTTCTTCTATGCCTCAGGCAACCACAGACTCAGTGTGAAGGCAGGCAGAGAAAGAACAGCTAGATACAACTCTAAAAGCTGAAGTTAAAAAACTCTTGCTTTTGTACCAAGTTGAATATTGTTGCCTCTCTTTGAACCTCCATAACTCAACAAGCTTCACCTGTTCCAAAATTTCACTGCTTTCACAATTAGTATTCGGGGGGGGGGGAATTGACCTTGATTTTATACAGAAAATATTAATCTGAAGTATTTGCATGCATATATGTATGTGTATGGTAAAACACAATCATAAATAAATAAATAAATAAATTTTAAAAATCCATGTTAGGTCACAGACAAATTGCATAAAGGGCATGCCATGGATTCAGTGTCCTGTACACCCCAATTTCTATATTAGGAATAGGGTCATCTGGATGGCTGTCAGGACTCATAGAATGATTGCCACGCTGACCATAAGTGCCTAAGATTTCTACCAGTCATTACAACACTGAGGCGATCCTGAGAATTTAGTGGGAGAAAAACCTGGGGCTCACAGGTTGGGGCTCCTTAGATCATAATGATATTTGTCAGGATGCAAACATTTCATTCCTCCTTCCCAGCCATTTCAAAGCAGAAGTGAGTCAGAAAAGAGAGCCAAATCAAGATATTATTTCCATGGCACATATATATATATTCCATTCCATAAGACAGCAGATTCAGAGGTCACTCCAAAGAATTGTCCTCGTTCAGGCTTAAGGCATCATCATGGAAATTTGCCTTTGCTGTTGCAGTGATTTCCCTGGATTACAACTGAGCGCATGCCAACAAGCTGGAAGGGTTCCATAGCATGGGAGTGAAGTGTTTGAGGCATCCAAAGCTGTGCTTTAGCACATGTTCCTGCCTAAATCTACTCAGAAGGGAATCATTTTGGAGATGGAGAAGTAGTCCGGCAGTGAGAGGAAGCAATCATTTGTTGAATGCCAGCAATGCCTCTCACCATTATTAAAGTTATGTGGAAATTAGACACTAAAAACGAACAAAAAGTAAACTAAATGTAAACAGTTTCTGATGTTACACAGAAAATCTCAAAAAATTCAGAAGTAGCAACTCCAATTGCTAAAACCTTTTGGAAGGCCTTTAGGTTCATCTGTTTACAAGCTAAGGAAACAGATGTACTTGGGATTCTTTGCCACTATTTTAGTGAAAATTAGGAAAAGAACTAGACAGAACTCAGTGCCTACGCACTTGAGAGTAAATAAGTTTTGGGAAAGATCTTTTATTACACCTTTTTCATTTCAGAGGCTGAGCACCAGAGAAACAAGATCAAACAGGCAGAATTGGCTTTAGTTATGTCTGTATGCTTTTTACCTTTGCCATTGCTAATGCTGTAGTCAATCAGCACAGAACCTTGTTTCAAAGAGATACTGGAGAAAATATTTATTTGGATGAGAATTTTGATAAAGTACTGTGATTAGGTCATATATAATAGGGGACTGTGATTCCAGGCACATTTCAGCCTCACTGTCAGGGTGATTTCTCTCTACAGAAGGGATTTATTTATCTATTGCACTAACAAAAGTAAAGAAATCCAGAATATAAATCAGTAAAAGATTAATCCACTGGAAAGCATTCTCTTATAGCAATTCTGTTCACAAGCCCAGACTCACAACATGTGAGATTTACAAATACCATAAATCAGCCCAACATAAATAAAGTCTTAAACAACCCAGATTCTGGAATACTGTAGTTTATTGAATCAAAAGCAAAGCAGTTTCTGGTTTGCCACACATAAATGTACTGACTAAAGAGCATAATTATGTGTCCCCAGCGGAGACAGACCTATTGGTTTACTTGCACATTAAAAAAAATACCATATATGTACTGTATACATCTTTAAAATATGTATGTCTTATAATAAATGTTTATAATGATAAATTAATTACATATTATATATATTCGATATTCTTTATATTAATTGATTGTTTTCTTCTATTGTACTTTACCATAATATATGGTCATTGAAAAGCTCTACAGTATACATATGTATACATTATATATAAATATATATATATATATGCAAATATACATGACATAAAAATCTAGATGCTAATCTATTCTATTCTATATTCTGAATTCAGGTCAGCTCCAACACAGTACAATGCTGACCTAAAGGTTTCCCTTCTGGGGACAAGGACAAACACTGTCCATTGAAGGATCCCAGGCATTGCCCAGAGATTGTGGACTCTCCCTCACCAGAGAGAGAGTCAGGAACCGTCTGAACACAATCCCTTGCAATGCACAGCAGGAATGCCCTGCTGGAGCAGCCCTGGACCACGTGATCCCAACACCAGTCCTTTCAAACATTCCCTCCTCTGGGATTTTGCCATCGGCATCTTTGCACCCAGTGAAGCTCGGTGAGGGAAAATGGACTCTAAGAAAGAGAGGGGGCAGCCACAGCCCTGCTGGTAATGGCACTCTCTCTCACACATCCCCTGGCCACGGCTTCTTCAGCTCCATCAGCTTGGACTCCCCGGGTGCGTTTGGGTCTAGAGGAAAGGTGCGGCAGCAATTGCCACTGCCGATTGAACGGCACCTTCTGCGTGTCCTGCACACTCAGCTCTGTGTCAAATTCTCCCAGAGCTGTAGATTCTCCACACAGAGTGCAGAGAGCAGGAAAAGGAATAACAGTATTTCCTCTTGAGTGCTCTTTGGTCTTTGTGGGCAAGGTGGTCATCTCTGGATGCAGTGCTGGGGAGACGGTTGACACAACACTACTGCTGCTGCTGCTGCTGGCACAGTGCTGCTAGCCAGTGTTTGTCCTTACTTCTCTGGATGCCACATTCTGCCCTCTTCTCCCATGCACTGGCAGGTTGTTCTCTGCCACCAAGTGCAAGCCCCACAGGCACAGCTCTGTGCATGGGACCCTCTCTCACTGCTCATTGTTGACTATCAGTTTCAGCCACCTTTGCAGATCCACGTACTGACTCATGGCTTGGGAGTGGGCAACGGGATCCATCTCCAGGTCATGGAAGAGATTGTATGAGCTGGCCATGAGGACCTCAGGGGGCAAACGGATCTCCAAAGGAAGACCCCGGTTGCCAACAATGAAGTGATTGAGGCGTCTCACTTCCACACATGTGCGCAGGCTCTCGCTGATGTCTACCAGTCGCCTCACAAAATATCCCCTGCGCCATTGTGACATGGGTATGATGCTCAGGAGGTGCATGACAATGGTCTTGATGGTATAAGTGGAAAAGCCAAATCCCACCTGTACACGGGTGAAGAACTGCAGGCAGTTAAGGTGCAAGCTGTCAGAGGGCGCCTGCCTGGCGATATACTGAAAGAACTTCATCTCTGCCACGGCGTAGCTCTCCGGCCACACTGTGCTTGACGTGTAAGCTTCCCTAGGCTGGCTGCTTACAAAGATGTCCGAGTCGCCTTGCCGCACCCCAAAGAGGATCTCAGTGCGGAAGCTTTCTGTGCCATTGGTCACCTTGAATTGGCAGGAGCGTCTGGAGGGCAGCAGCACTAAATGCCAATTGTGGGACTGAAGCAAAGCCGGCCAGACCGCTCTCACCAGCTGGTAGAACCAGCGGGCAGTTTTGTGCACGTCCAGGTAGGAGTCAGTGCACAGCGTGTCAACGAGGCTGGGATCCTGATTGCTCCTCAACTCCTCCTCGGGGTGGTGCAGGAAGCACAGCCTGTTCTTACCCCGCCGCGCTGAGCCGCAGGTGCACTCCTGCTGCACGCGGACGCGGAAGTTCCTGACGTGCCTCTGCCCTGCACTCTCCAGCTCCAGGTGGAAGCTGTGCCCTCGCGGAGGAGTCATGGGTACCAGCACCTGGTACACAACATCCTGCTCACGGGGACTCCAACCTTCAAAGGCACTGCCCACCCCAATGGCTCCTTGCAGGACTGGGTAGAAGCTGTTGGACAAGACGCGTTGAAAGTAAACTGCAAAACTATCCATAAGGAGAATTATCCAATGGCATCCTATCAGCAGGTCTTGCACAGGCCACTGGACGTTCTCCATAACAATTCTTCCAAAGTTATCTGCTTGACCACGCTCAACAAGTTCATTTCCAGCATTAGCTTCGTCATTTGCAGCAGGGTTATCGAGATCCTGTGCATTGCCAGCATCATTGTTGTTTTCCTCCCCATTCGCACCGTTATCTTCGTCTTCTTCTCCTTCATTTCCAACATTGACTGCTTCATTTCCAGCACCTTCTTGATTTCCAATATATCCTTCATTTGCATCCAAATATCTGCCCACCTCTTCATTTGCGCCATTGTTTGCTCCTCGATGCACCAATCTCCTTGGCGTCCTTGTCCTGCACATACACCACAGGGCAAAGAGAAGCAGCAACAGCTCAACACCAGCCCAGAGCTGCCAGAGCTGCAAGGCAGAGCAGAGCAGGTCTCCCCAGGCCC